TCTGCTATATCACTGCGACAGTTGTATTTTATTCCATTGAAGCACATGCTACTTCCTAAAACGCTAGTTTGTTGTTTACGTGCCTGAATATCTTTCCAAAACAAATCACTATTTAATTCAGCTTTGACCTCTAGTTTATGGTCGAGATCACGCAAATATGAATTCACTGCCGCCCTATGCAATTTTCTGAATTTAGTCTTTGCAGATTTATAATTTGCATACTCCTTGTGGTTTATTCCGCGTGGTCGCCCTGCCCGGCACCACACTTCTCTGGCTTGTTTCACTTCTTCGTGACATTGAGACAATTCAATCGACCAATAAGGTTTCATGTACTTTCTATACTTTTTCTTTGGAAAAGACTTAGAACATAATAATATATTTTCAGTTATAGTATCATAAGTATCAGACAAGTTCTTATCTTCGTTGAAATCAAAGTTTTTAAATGCACTTTTCAACTGTTCGTTATAATTGTCAATATGCATGCTTTGAACTTTTTTCCAGTTTATTGTTTCAACATTTGTATTAGTTTCGAAACTGACATCATTGTGCATGTAACACTCAAAGTTTAAACTACAAAGTATGGGTTTGTGACATGAAACATTTAAAGAACAATCATCAGCTACTTCAATGTAAGATAAAATGTTTGAGAATTCATTGCCTAACAATATATAATCAATAGTAGACGTAAAGCGCCCATCATATGAGACATATGTACTTGTCTTATTAAAGCATCTGTCCGTAGTGTTTACAGCAAATAAATTACAGTCATTAATAAAACAATTCAGGGTTGCGCTCCTGCCTGAAAACTTTGCATTGTCAATGTTTGCATTAAAATCGCCCATAAAGACAATGATACCTTTATCACAGTATGTATTATAAATATCATACATCATTGATATAACTTCATTGTATGCTGTTACAGAATAGTTACTACATGGCAGATAAACTTGAAAAAAATAGACAAATAATGAAGAACCAATTTCTAATTGTATCCCTATTATACGATCACTATCAGTCTCAACTTTCGAAATTAAATTGTTATAACGTCTATGCCACATTATAGATACACCACCTTTTCTCACATTATTTATATCACAAACTGTATAATGTATAAATTCCAACGAGATAGAATCCATAAAATGAAAGTTCTTTTGCGTTAACCAATGCTCGGATAAGCCACATATATCTATATTTCCCTCATCTAAAATATTACTAAGGTAGCCCGCACTGGACATAATTCCAGTAATGTTCCATGTTACAACATTTAACATCATAATAAGATATAAAACTGCCATAATGACCATCATTTGATAGATAAAAATTTACATTTTTTACATATAGTTTTAGTCAACATAGCATTTTGTTTCATCCAAAATACTGAAATGATTTGACCATTGTGAATGATCCGAAACATTCTGATATGATTCTCCCGAGTGATGCCCCTTGTATTTTTGCATTATTTATCAGGTTTTCCACTGTAAAATGGGAAATCTTGTTTGTTGCCAAATGTTGAATGCCTTCCCGATTGGGTGAACCCTTTATTGCTATTGTTATTATCCGTCGGTCTTGACAAATATGACCGTTCACGCCGTGACTCCAATGCCAACCACGGTTCGCATCAAAGGTAGTGTGGCCAGAAGTCATCACTAAGAACAAGCCTTGCTTTATCATTGGCTATCAGTGTCAGTTTAAGTAGAACCTTATCAGGGTTGCGACGTAACTTGAATTTTCTCATTCCTGTAACACAAGGCACCTTTTCCTCGATAACCGATTTAAGGAGCTCGGTATTAAGACACGAACTAAGACCAAGTACACAAAATCTCTCAGTGCGTTTCCTTTTCACAAGCTTAAAATCATTTTCGAACAATCTATCACCGCTCAACACTTGTTGTTCTCGAGTTGTCACCCGTACCGGTATTGTTGCCCCTACTTTCTCAGCCTCGGGCGTATAACTTGTTACGTCATTGAATGAGACTGACCTCTCTGTTTCCCCTTGTTTGTCTGTCTCTAAGCATATTTCTGGTGTACACGCATTTTTTGAAAGTGATATGCTATCATTTTGGCATAAGCGTTCCGCCGTGTATGCGTAAGTTGGCGGAGAAAATGCACAAGCATTGACAACGGTTTTGCTTTTCATATTATTTCCACTGTTTGATTTCCTTGAAGAGCCCGGATTGATGTCATCACGTTCCATTTGCACTTCAATTAAACGCACTCGGTCTTCAAATTCAGTAACCCGCTCTACCACAGATTGCGTTATATTTCTAATCGTAGCTACTGTTGATGAAGACACAGTGTTTGTAAGCTGTGCACAACTAAGTATATCTGTCTTTATTTTTAAATAGGTATCTTTGACATATTTCATTTGCTCATTGTGTGAAATCTCTTGGGCATGCATTGTTTGTTTAATAAGTAATATGTTTGCTTGTAATGAGGCTATTGAATCTTTCATTAAAGATATCTCGTTACTACAAGAACATTTTTCTGTCGGCCTAATCGCTGACATGCTCTCTACATGCTGTTTGCGGACCTTTGCAGTACTAATCATGTTCTTTAATATGTTAAAATCGGTACCTTCAGTCACGCTTATGATATTATAGATATCTTGTGCCAATCTAAATGCAACTGGATCCCCTGAGCGCGTAAAAACACGCTTTTTGAGTTCCGCATTTTTATCAAACGGAAATTCAGTACAAGTGTGTTTAAGATGTTCGAAGTAATCACATCTCATGCGATCTAAGTCGGTTTCAGAAGAATTATACTTCTGCAAAATTAACTGGACACAAATATCACGTGGGTTTTCTCTATATAACTTCACCAATGCCCTATATTCCTCAACAGCCATAAAGTCACACTCATTGAGGTCATTCAATAGAACGTCATCAGTTTGCTGGTCAGAAAATACGGACAAATCATGTGTAAAAATGACGTCATCTCTGTCATCAATTGAGCTGTCGCAAGACTCCGCCTGATTAAAGCGTTGCCCTGGAGTTACAAAGTCCAATGTTTCATTATCACTGATCTGATGATCTTCGAGCACGTAATCCATGACCGTGACAGTTATTATTGACCCCGCCTAGAACCTGAGGCTATGTCTAATCTCTTAATCCAAAACACCGTTATTCTTCAATAATGAAAATATATGTGATATGTTCTCACTATTAAAGCGTAAGCGACATCGTATCTTTAAGACTGTTTTCTACATAAAGAAAACCACGAAATCACATTGCACCATAATCAAAATATCCAAAAAATGACTTAAAACCACTTTTTACTTGAGCATCTTAAACTCCAATTAGTTAATCCAGATCAGTAAATCCAGAATTCTGCTGTGGTGTTTAAACAGACACATTTAACTTAACGTACGTATGAAATTTTAAGAGATTTATGAGAGACACAAAAAGTACGTCTTCACACTTATATTTTGACCTATTTTTATAAAACTGGTCTGCTGGACTAAATAATTCAAGTAGATCTTTGTTTTTATATGTACATTTTAAACCACATATTTCAACAATATCTTGATTTAGTAAACGTAAAAATAATCCGTGATTGTCTATCACGGTAACGTTTATCATCAGATAGATTTTTATTGAAAGTGGCCGATGACTAGACCTATTAGTACTCCAGTAAATGAACAGAAATGTACTTTATGTGATAAATTAGAGGACGAATATCATTTTGTTTTAGAATGTGTTTTATATAACGATTCGAGAAAGCAATTTGTACCAACCTATTATTACAGACGACCAAATATGCAAAGATTTGTTGATTTAATTACTGCAGAATGTAAGCGTGTCATATGAAATTTAAGTACATAATTATGTAGAAAAAGCATTTACATTAAGAACAAACGGTCTTTACAGAGACAATTATTCTTAAACTTATCTTCCAAGATGTAATGATCTGAATTTTGTTGAGCATAACTCTTATATGCCTTTCTTGTTTATCACGTAGCTTTGTTAAATTTAAGCTCATTATGTACCATTATAGTATATCTATATGTCATTAACTTGCTTCTTTCGTTTTAATGCAAGCTGTGACTTGATTTGGAATAAGAATTCATATTTACTTTATGTCCAAATGACATTTCACGTTCATGATTTTAAATTCATAACAATATGAAATAAAATTTATTGGTCACCAACTTTTCATTCTAGCTTTCGAACAAGTTGTGACTAGATATAGATTTTTTTTTCTTACTACTACTTACTTTACTGTACTATGTTGTATATGCACAGACAAGTTTATTGAATGTTAAAACTGGATTATGTCTATTATGTTATGAAAAATGTTAGAGGTTTTATCGTTCGCATATCAATGTAATTAAAAATCGGGTTGCATATAGCAGTGTCTATACATATATGAAAATATATGTGTATACATGTAAGTGTATATGCAGATATATGAGCGTGAATGTACTTATGTTTATGTATATGCATGTTTGTGTGTATGTATGCATGTTTGAATATGCAATTATGATTTTAAAATGTCGGATTGCTGAAGCCATATATAGTATGTGATTGTTGGCCACATAGGTGTATAACCTTCTTGTGTTTTGAAAATAAAATCTTGAAAAATCTTGAATCTATTTAAAATTAAATTAATAGGTCAATATTTGGCAATCTAAATATTATTAAAGGACATGATTGGTGACATGTCCGTGGTCCGCACTCTCAGTGCCAGAAAAGGCGAATGGATGCTTATATTTTAAGAACATGTACACACACTTTCTAAACAAAGCTTACAGTGAAATGTTGCGTTTTGCCCAGATGAAATAGTTATTTAGAACAATAAAAGAATGTTTTCTTTCTAAATTCTGTTTGATTATAATGCATAGAAATCGAAGAAATATCGTATACAGACGCTAAAAAATCAAACTTCAACCTGATAAACCGATGTAAATGTTTTTGCAGCGAATGGGAATGTTGAGGAAAGAACGAAATGATGGCAATGCAATTTTAAAAAATCAACTAATTTTTATTTTCTTTAAAATTTACCGGACTCATCCGTAATGTAGAGCTGATAATCGTAGTCGGTTGAAGGTAACATTTTGTCAGAAAGTTTTGCAAACTTAGTTTTGGCTTCTTTAGTTGACTTCATCTGCAGAAGAACAAATTCTTCGCCAACGGAGTCCTGAAAAATGAAGATAATATTTTGCAATTAATGCTTAGCATACATTTTTGAAATCGAATTCCACGGTATGGGACCACATGCTTATGCTGTATACCAAATATCAAAAGGATGTGATAAGTAGTTGCTGAGAAAACTGTTACGGAAATTTCCTACCATATACCATTAATGTCGAGAATTCAACTAAGTCGGCAAACAGGAAGTGGATGAGCGACATTTCCACGGTATGGGACCACATGTTTATGCTGTATACCAAATATCAAAAGGCTGTGATAAGTAGTTGCTGAGAAAACTGTTACGAAAATTTCTTGCCATTGACCATTAATGTCGGAAATTAAACTAAGTCGGCAAACAAGAAGTGGATGATCGACAGACCTGAAATCGATTTCCACGGTATGGGACCAAATGTTTATGCTTTATACCAAATATCGAAAGGCTGTGATAAGTAGTTGCTGAGAAAACTGTTACGAAAAATTCCAACCATTGACCATTAATGTCGAAAATTTAACTAAGTCGGCATACAGGAAGTGGATGAGCGACAGACCTAAAATCGAATCCCACGGGTATGGGACCACATGTTTATGCTGTATGCCAAATATCAAGAGGCTGTGATAAGTAGCTGCTGAGAAAATTGTTAGGAAACTTTTCTCCGGTCGCCCGCGTGCCCGCCGCCCAAAAATCACCATACTATAACCCTGGTTTGCACCTGTGCAACCCGACCAAAAATGAAAATTAATACTTTTAAAAGAAGTTTTATACTATGAAGGTACTTTGGGGTCTGATTGTCTTGGTGTTAAGGACCGTCGGCTTGGCACAAGTTGCATTATAAACGTTCAAAACTAGCCGTGTAAGGAAATAAGTTATTGGATGTATAACAAGAGCTGCCGGTAGGAATATAAAACTTCAACTTGTTTCAAAGCCAAATGTCAAGAGAATATGAAATATCTGAGGTGGTATGCAAACTTAAATGTAAATTCTAAATAGAAAAAGGGGCATAATTCAGTCAAAATACTTGATACAGTTACCTTCTCCTGTCTACAGGTTCGGGTCATAAAGGTCAACAAGTGTGCAAAGTTTCAAAGCCATATGTCAATGGACTTTGAAAATATTTCAGGTATTACAAAAACTTTAAGGTATATTCTAAGTCGAAAAAGGGGCATAAATCTGTCAAAATGTTTGATACAGTTACCTCCTCCTGTCTACAGGTTAGGGTCATGATGGTGAACAAGTGTGCAACGTTTTAAAGCCATATGTCAATGAACTTTGAAAATAATCGACGTATTACAAAAACTTTAACATAAGTGGTTACGCCGACGCCGACACCGTGTGTAATAGAAGGCCTGTGATACAATGAATAATTAAGTATAAGACAACAACAAATCACGAAATTATTATTTTATGGCAAGTGTGAGATACATGATCCGATATAAAATATATAATTTATATAGCAGATAATGAAATGTTCTAGAACAAAATATCATAATTCGTCTATAAATGGTCATTCTAAATAAATAAAAACTTTATCAACATTATATTTCCTAGCTATGAGAATATCCAAATCATAAATTTCTATTTTTTATCAGAATTTGAAAAATATGGAAAACGTGCGCATTGTAGACCTATCCACTTTAAGAAAATTAAAAGTATCATGCACTTATTATCAAACAAATCTCACTCACCCTGTCTTCAGCAATGACCTGTTTTGAACCATCTTGGTATTTGATACTGTACTTTCCGAGCTTGCTAAAAAAATTAAAAAATCAATAGAAAATCAAAATAAAACAAAAATCTGAAAAATGAATTTTAAGACACATGAAATATAACTATCACATTTAATTAACTTTTCATTTAAAACAGACGGAAATGTTTGCAAACACACACACGCACGCACACGCACACGTGCGCGCGCACACACACACACGCGCACACAAAATAAAAGACCACAATCCATTAATCAATGAATGATCTGTTGCTATAATTCGACACAACCAGTTTTCTTTTTATGTCAGTTTGATTCTGTGAATGTAGTTTTTTGTTTGTATAGGAAATCGGCGACTCTTTTGAAAGTCAGTTATGCACCTGTCGGTCAGAAGTAATATTGACATATTGTGTCTTGAACTTTTGATTGTAACTTGTGATAGTAACAGTCATGATGTTTAACAATTGTAACCTTATAATTCATTTTGTTAAGTTATAATTTTGTTTTCACAAATTTAGGGGAATTGGAACATACAAAATCGTCAATCGTCCTTTCATATTGTTTGTAAATACAATACCCTCTACCCACTGAATTATTCAACATGTTTCTCAAAGAGAATATAAAACAAACAAAAATGGAAATTTTGTGCAATGTTGTTGATTACATTTCGTTAAAAAGGCTATATCGGGATATATGTTTCCGGCTAATGGAGTTTGCTGAATTACTCTTCTTGCGAAAATTATTATATTAAAGTTTAAAGTGTATAAAGCTATAATATATCTTCAGCAAAAATTATTATTTGGCTTTTAAAAAGGAATACTTCCAAAATGGTTGAGAAATATGGTAGTTTATGACATAATTATAAAGCAAAGTGTGCATGCACAAAAATCATTGCTTGATGTGTAAAACCCTACATTTAACAGAAAGTAATACTTTGTTCCGGGACATTTTATTCTGCTTGTATAATATATAGTTCTATGTCTGTTAAATAAAAATAGGCATATATATATAAAGACAATCTTTTCAAGAATCAACCATAATAAAATAAAAACAATTCAATTTTTCTATTGATAAATTATATAAAAAAATCATAATATATAGCTTTATACTCTTTAAAAATTATTGTAACGAAATCGAATTATTTTATTGAATTTTCATTCTACTTTACTTGAAATACAACTGAATCAAATAAACCATGCAGGAGACATGACTGGAGACATTGTTTTTGCCTTCTGTCCGTCCGTCCGTCTGTCCGGTCGCCCGTCCGTCCGAATAAAGGTTGTCCGGCCTTCACAGGAAAAACTACTGGTGTGATTTCAACCAAACTTTATTTATATATGAATATATACATGTATATTATATACCAATATTAATTTTTACAACACTCGGCCACGTGGGCCTACAAGTTACTTAATTATTTAATCATTTCCAAAATATACAATAATAAACATAATTTAGATATTAACCAATTACATATATTCACGAACAAATAGTGATAAAAACGTTCTTGGACATAATAAAATCTGCATTGTAAGAGAAATAGGAAGTATACAAGTTTACTCTTTTTTTTCCAATTACTCCCGGTATCAAATCACATATATGGTACATAAACAGTTTTCATTCATGTACATATCTTTAGGGCAAATACATTTACAACATTATATTTTTAATTAATTTCTGTACAGAGACATCTTTCTTCTGTTCATAGTTTCAACTAAAAATTTAGCAACATGCACATAATGATAGTTGACAGCATATACTATCTTATTTACTTCAGGCATATGCTCAAAATCAGGATTTCTATCTTACCATTTTGATTAATGGTTCCTATCATTATATTTAATGCAGTTTATAAGAAAACGAGTCTCATCTTCTACAGCATTAACTGGACAAAAGTGACAAAATATTTCGTTTACATTTAAACCGACTTATCTTCTCGTTTTTATCTTTAATGGAAGTATACCACATCGGAATTGGGTTAAATGAGACCGTTCAATTTTAGTTAATGACGAAAGCAAATAATTTTCAGTATTATAATGTTGTTTTAATTCAATATATGTTCTATGTTTGGCAACATTTCTAACATCATTACACCAATCCGTTTTATATTTAACAATTAATGCATCTTCAACATCTTTTAGGTTTACAGGTAACTTGTTTTCATAGTAATGTGACATTTGAATTTGTTGCAATAAAGTCTTTACATCATAGCACCATGTTTTTTTCAGAAACAATTGTAGTCATAGGAGAACATTATCTTGGAAGTCTATCGTACGGCAAATTTACAAGTCGTGTCAAAAGTCGTAAAACGTTAACCCAACGTCTATGTTGAGTGGAAATCCAGGCCATATCACCATTTATTGCTAATAATGGTGCAAATTTATGCACACCCATAAAATATCTTATTGCTCTGTTTTGTGTCATATTAATTTTGTTATAATATTTAAAACCCCATATTGAGGAACAGTAATCTGTTACAGGAATAACATATGAATAGTACTTTTAATAAATGTTTTAAAGCCAACATCTTTATAATTATGTACTTTAGAAATAATTGCATCTAGTGCTCGGCCACCAGATTTAGACAAAAATTCGGCAGTTTGAGTAAAATCTTAGTGCTCATGTAAATTAACACCAATTTTGAAATACTTCCATATTTCACTCAAACGAAAAATATTCTCGAGTAATAACTTATCGACCAAAATAAGATCACAAATTTCCCTTACTCCGTTACCTGCATCGCGCATGAAACGGTTTTATAATGGTTTGTCAAGAACATTCATTTGTTCCGGAATGTAAGCATTATATCCCACGCGACATTTGATAGATTTGATTTACGGGCATGTAAAATATGTTTGAGTCCATTCTTACTACTAGTATTGTCTATTTTTTGAGGGACTGTTAATAGGAAGTTCCTCGTTTTGTATTTCGACATTCGTCCTGTTTCCTCGACTTCTGTAATTTAATTTTTGTGTTAAGCTGCTGATGGATTAATGTGCAGTTTTCCTCTAGCAAACATCTTATTTTGTAGACTGTCTAAGGCATACTGTTGTTTCCACCTACCAGATGTCTCCGCTTTTTATTGTCCGTTTGCCAGTCAGATTTAGCTTTTTCATACGCCATAGCTACGGGCGATACAAATTAAAGCACTAGACGATCACTCATTTTTGTTTCGGAAGTTGTGTTAATTTTTTATTTTTCTGAACTACTCTTCATCGTCATTACTATCCTCATCATTATAAGCATCATCGTCATCGATCTCTTCTTCGTCTTGTTTTGGAATGAGAACTTCGTTCAAATCGGGTTTGTAGACGCGAATAGCCTCAGCAATTCTAACTTAACAGACGGGTAAATGCAAATTAAAATGATGTCACTCGGACGAGTTCATAATTGGTCTGTACAAAGGACATCTGTCCAAATCATAGACCGACGTTACCATTTCAAATTTCAAAATGCACTGCTCGGATCACGCGTGATTAGCTTTATAGGTTACGTGATCTTTCAGCTTTGTCATTTCTGTTTTCTGCAGTCCTGGTGGTACATTAATCTTTACCGCTTTCATGTCAATATGTATTTCCTCCTCTTCCTCCGCGTTATCATCATCAGTGTCGGACGAATTTCCAACACCGAAAAATGCGTCTTTGTCCGTTCGTTTTCTCTTTTTAGTAGCCGGACTTTCTATGTCAAATATACTTTTGCGCAAACGATCCTGTTCCGAGGTACACGATTTTAAGTCTACCACGAAATAGCCATGCGGTCTAGACGTTGCGTTTTCGAAGCGTTAATAAATATAATTTGTGATGAGGAATAAATTCTTTTCGCCAACGTCGCCACTTGCTGTCTATTTAAATGATTATTGAACAATACGAGATACTACTTATTCAATGCAAAATCTCTGCAGGCCGTTTCTTGTGGAATATATATTTTTGCATCAATTATACGAAAGATATGTTTCTGTGATGACTACCCTAGGTGAAGAGATCCGCAGTCCTTTGGTTGCATTTAGCTTCCGTCATGAAATCGTCAAAGAAATAGATTTCTTTTGATTGGATTGATATATGTGGCATTGAAACTTACCGAGTACAAATTCGATCCGCGATATTCAAAGCTGAAGTTTGTCGTACAAAGGCTTTCATTGTCCAAAGGACCATATGATTTTCTCAGGCGCTTGACGTACTAGATCGGCTTTAATCAGTTTCCTTGTTCATTCATTTTTTCATCTACCGCTCGGTCGGGATACAACAATAGAAAACAGACGTTGTAACGTCATCTGTCTTGAATCATCCAGAGACAGTTTGAACACTTGTTTTTGTCCATTTTTCAGTAACACTGGGTTTTCTATTCTTACGCATTTTACAAAATTGAACTTCTTTACTTATACTATGTTGTCGTTGGTGGTAAAAGTATTTGTGGTTTGTTGGTGGTTGTGGAGGTGGTGCTTGTTAAAGGTGGTGGTGGCGGTGGTGAAATGTGATGGTGGCGGTGATGGTGGCGGTGGTGAAATGTGATGGTGGCGGTGATGGTGGCGGTGGTGAAATGTGATGGTGGTGGTGGTGGTGGTGGTGGTTAAGAAGGTGGTGGTGGTCTTGCAGGCGGTGTTGTTTATTTGACAGTTTGAAATTTTATTTTATTTCATATCACAAGCATATTCATACAAAACAAATTCTTACAAAGTATAACAAATTTATCCAAAATATATGGAGTACTGGAAAATACAAAGTATATGTTCTGGTTAGTTCTATATATATATCGTTTCAAAATGTCGATATATACAATTTATTGAACAGTTCTACCCGTTCATCGCCTGTTTTAAGTCAATCAAAACGAATAATTCTATATCAAATGATAATAAAATGGACATAAAAAAACTTCAAAAAGGGATGCGTAAATAGACCCGTCAAACCGCCATTTTTGACGAGTAACCTATTCGTACAGCTGGCAGATACCATTGTCAATGTATCAACTCAGGACTAGTTTTAGGTTCTTGCAGGACAAACACAACACAAAATGCAATATTTTTGCTTCATGTTATTTCTGATCAAATAATGTAGCCTAAATAAGAGTGTTATTTTGTTTTCTTTCTTCCAAAAACTTGCACTTGAAAAAAAAACTTTCTTGCGGGAGAGTTTAAAACTATGCGTCTCATAGTTTTAAAGTATAATATCTATAGGATAGCAGGACAGTTTAAGTCCGTTTCAAAAAAAACAGTCGACGAAGAATAGAACATAGTACCTAAACGTGAATCAAAACATCCGTTGACATCAATTTCAATGTACACGTCAAAAAAGTTCGACTATAAGGGGATAGTCGAATAAATCTAAGTATTTTTAGTAGCTTTATGCGTTGACCACATACCAAATAGGTATAAGGCAAGAACTATTCTCATGGTTGAACGGCGATTCAAGGCATTTTTGGAAATGCTAATACTTGTATATAGACATGCAAATAGCTTGTGAATGATTGGTGCTGATAAAATGCAAACCTTAGTATTTTTGTAATAATAATAACAAAGTAATTTTTCTTAAGGTAGTATACCCCTAATGCACTGTCTCCACTTTGAAGAGTATTCAAATAGGCTAAAATCACTGTAAAGTGTATTAAAACTGAGGGGGCGTGGGTTCAAACCCTAGAAGGGGCAATTTTTTGTCTTTCTTTTTTTTCTTTTTAACATTTTTTATTAATCTCTCAGACCCCCTATGGAAAAAAAGTGTTTTATTTTAATTATATAATTATTGCAGGTATTTATTTACTAAATAAAGCCAACTTTAATAACAAATATGATACCAGATATTTTCAAAGTTTAATAAAATAAAAATTAAACTGTTAAAGTATTTCATATTTTGCAAGACCAACCAATTTACATTTAAGAAAATTTAGGAAAACTTTGAAAATAGCCCCTGATTTTGGAAAATTTTAGGGATATTTTAAATAAGGCTTTTTACATAGGGAAAGGTTCAAACTAGTGTTCAAAGTGGGTGGGGTAGGGTTACATTTTTATACACATTAAAAACATTTCGTTTAAAAACAATCATTTTTCTTATTTAATTTGTTACCTAAATGTCATTATTTATTTCTTAACAATGAGCAAAAGGAAAACATTTTTCATAATGATGATATTATAGATTATTTAGAGTTTCCTCATTTCTGAAAAAAATCCCTTCTAAGTTCATAAAAATGTCCATGACTCATAAACCACACGGTAAATTTTGTTTAAATTTTGCATACAGGTGACATTTAAGGCATATAACTGTCCTATGTTGTCAAATTTACAATTCCTTATAGTGCCCATTAGGGGTGTACTACCTTAAAAAGTTTAATAGTTTAAATCATTAGAAAGTTCTGTAACTCATATTTTAAACATTTAAAAATTGATTTTCAAAACCTTTTACTTTTTACCTTGGTTAAACTTGGCCCTTTCCGTCAAACTTCAGACAAGAACATAAAGAAATCAATAGTTTTTTACGTTAAACATCATAAAAAAAATATGCTAAAGAAGCACATTTATAAAACTAAATAGTGGTAATCGTTGATCACGTTATATCACATCGATCTCCGTCGCGGGGGTTTTCAAAACATTGAGACGATGGGTCGGAGTCCCGGGATCCGGTACGCCCGGTATTCGGGATAAAAATACATACATAGAGAAGACTTATAAACTATATTGGTGGTGTTATTGCCGCAATGAAGGCAATGAAACGTTAACTTTTAATATATCGTATGTAACAACGGATGTATTGATTTCAACTAAAGATTGAAATATATTCATAGCTATTTCATAACAAAAAGTATAATAAACGTTTTTGAAAAAAACACAATATTTGTCAACATTCCATTTTGTTTAGTTTTACCCATTGTTTTCATGTTTTGGGCTCACGCTTTCTTTTACTTGGGGACCATACACCACTTTTCATGGAATGGCACGAAGGTGTCACATTGGATATACCGTGATAACCGCCATATGAACAATTCTGTACATGTTTCTAAATTAAAAGTTTCACAATTTTCATGTTTTAATGTTAAATGATTCTTAAACCGGTGCTTTACTACAAGTGGCTTAAAGACGGCAAAACCTCGGTTTTGTCAGTCTCGTAAGAGTAAAGATTCTGCAAGATGGCGACCCTTGTGCCTACTCTTGCGTTATAAATATTTATTAAAACTTGAAATTACCCTTTAAACTGTTATTTATTTGGTTTGGTTTTACGTCTCACCAATACAGTAGGGGTCATACTGGGATTTTTCAGCTCACCACCAACGTTCTTCAGGCTCGATGGATAACATCCTCGAATGAAGAATCAAAAATCACTGGCGTAATTTAACCTGTAGCGGTAAGGGGCCAGTTGTAAAAAGACTTATATGGTATCTCTTTTGAAAGAATAAATAATTGATATAAAACAGATATTCCTCACTGGTTATAAAATATGATACAACTTACATTTTAGTATCGACACAGTCAGCAAGAGTGAGTATCCAAGCGTCAGAAATTTGTACACCAGCACAAACCTCATCATTCCCAAGTTTTATATACACTATCAACTTGTCTATTGACCTCAAAGTGTTGGCTCTCTCACTAAGTAGCTTCTGCGCACCTACAGTGTCAACTTGCCCTATAGAAAACACATGAAAAATATTTGACAGTGTTGATTTACGACCGAAATTTAACAAAGTCTAAGATTTTGATGATTTTTGGTAAGCAAACCTGTAGATATGTATGCTTTACTTCCGCAGCATTATTTTATAAATAAACAGCGTTACTATGACGTCAAAGCGCCCTCTATTGGTGGCGGCAAAATTCTATCAGTAAATCGGTTTGTTCTCATCACTTTTCATCCGATTTCCTTCATTTTAATTTTATAATGCTCAGTTAATTTATGTCTTTGTACTGATGTATTTCTTAAACATTTGCTTAATAGTCTGCGATTCTACGGTTATTTTCCCTACGTTTTGACATCCATATCTGATGCAAATATCGTGCGATATCGCAAGAAGATTGTGAAATAAAAACAATTCAACATGGTGATTTTTGTTATAATTTTTCAAGCATGTAGTGAGAAATTGAAGGAAAATATTTATGCGATAAAAATATAGGGTAAACGCGAAAAATATTTTGCTATAACGGTTTTAAAATAAAATTAAGTGTGAGTAAAACGTTATATATTTTGTTGACGTCAATTGAGCTTTAAAGAACTGACATTTTCCAGTCTAACATTGTAATAGTAATTAATAATATTATTATGATAGGGCTATTTTGAAATATATAACTAGTTCTTATTGAAATGTATGCTTAAGATTATCATATTTAATTCTAACCCGACTGTGAATTTTTGGTTTTCTAATTTACTAATTGAGGCTTGATTTGTATTGTTATTTCGGGAAACATGTTTAAATTTCATTACCAGAAATGTAAAAATGACAACTGCAAAAACAAGATTCGAACATTCAAGATTTAGTTGTGTAAGTTTTACTTCTGCTGCATTATTTGTGAAGGAAAAGCAAAAGCGTTGGTAAAACGTCAACGTGCCCTCCATAGGTAGTGGCGGAATTTAGTCTTTTTTATCGATTAAACGGCCTGTTTTGTTGTTTTTTTTTATTTTTATTTTTTTTTTAATTCTCATCCGATATTCTCCGTTGAAAGTTTATAATGTTCAGTAGATGATTGCTTAAGATTGATGTCTTTCTATTTTATGTGATTCTGCAGCTAACTCCCCACCGCCCTGACGTACAAATCTGTTGGAAATATCGAACAATTGTGAAATAATTTTTTAAAAAACATCACGGTGAATTTTGAAATAATTATTTAGCATGTAGAGAATTTGTGAAGAAATTTTTATTCAATAAAACACTAGGGTCAACGTGTTAAATATTTTGCTTTTACTGTTTGAATGTAAGATGAAGAATGGGTAAAACGTAATGATGTTGGTGTAGTCAAATATTTTTCTCAGAAAAAAAATCGTGACTTTTTCGATAAATAGCATAATTCCAGGAATGAAAAAAGTTCTTTTAAAAGTAAAAAATCCTGTCAGCTGACTGCATTTCGATAAACAATTTTATTTTTTTATAAATGAACAACAGGTCAGGGTATGACGGTCAGCAAATCTTACGTATTAAGTTGGTATTAATATCTGAAAAACTGTAACCTATGGATTTAATACAATGTTCTTCAAGAAACTGAAAGACAATTCACAATATTGAAAGATATGATTGAAAGCCCACCTAAGTGGAAATAATACAAACATAAATCTTGAAAAGAAATGTCAGAAATAGGAATGAAAAGGCTGGCGCAGTGGCCGTGTCATCATGCGTATCTCGGTACGTCTACATAAACTACCATGTTATCATATGTAATAATTTCGAATAGTATTAATCAATAAGTAGGAAAATTCTGAAATTGTCATTTTTGGAATGGATATGATTGTATCTAGTAAAGAAAAATTATGGTGGCTGATTTGTGCCATTCGTGTTTTTGCCACGCGATCCGGCCAAGCGAAAAGTCGAGAATTAATTAGTTAAAATGGCGGGGCACAATGCGAAAACACGTTTATGAGCGAGGGCGCCACGAAGGATAATCAATAAAGCTTCGCCCCGCTGGGGCGCGGGGCGAGATTTAAGAAATAAAACGGCGAAAACACGCGAATTAGCGAGGGCTCGCGGCAAAGTTTAATTCATTTAACTATGTCCCGCGCCCCCGCTAATAATTGTGTTTTCGTCCCGCGACCCCGCAGTTTTATTTCTTAAATCTCGCTACGCGCATCCGCGTGGCGAAGTTTTATTCATTAATCTTTGCCCCGCACCCTCGCTAATTAGCGTGTTTTCGCTCCGCGACCCTGCCGTTTTGGTAGTGGAAATCTTTAGATAAAAAATAATATTTTGAGGGGCCACTTTGTTATACTGTATTTAAAAAAAGTTTGTAAGTAAGTTCACCTTAATCCGAGTAGAGTAAAGTAGTGGTTATATATGGTGTTTCGTATTCGAGTCTGCAGTTGCGAAAATGTGAATATTTTTATTTTTAACATGATTTTTGCTTCCAAAATAGTTCTAAAGTTTGTCACATTAGTGTTCATTTTTTAATTTATAAACCTATTTTCATCAAATTGTATAAGATGAATGTATTGCACAAACTTAAAGCAGTAAGAAAAAATAGATGTTTTTGTATCTCGAAAAGTTTGCTTTTAAATATTCTTAACATATTTGAATATTATTTCTGAATTTCATTCATCACTTTTTATATATGTATATCCATTTTGATTGCATTTTAATATGTGTTTTGACACTGGGGCTCGTCTGTCTTTATGTGATTTTAAGAGAAAGTGTTTCAAAGCTGAAATAACGTAAAGTTAGTATTCTAACGGGTATCAGCTAAGCGACTAAATTTTCTTACTTCTGTTATAAGCAATATGCAGTTCCTACTTTTTGCGCTAAAATAAGTTTTTTCATATAATAATATAATACTTTTTAACTCTTTTATTACAATCACCAAATTGTAGAAAATAAAACTGAAATATGTATGCAAATTGGAAAAATATTATTAAAAAGCCTTGTTGGATAAAACATTGTAAATTTGCTTATCTAACATATGCATTTCAATGAGAAAATGATAAACAATTTTTTTCATCAAGTCCCTGTGTGATTTTAAATGTTCGACGTAATAAAATTGTTATCTGGTATATTCTTAGAACTCCAAATTCTATTGATGTCACCAAAATAATTTAGTTTTACTCACCCTTTATTTCATTTTCTAACAGTAATAGCAAAATATCTTACCGCGTTGACCCTATATCTTTATTGCATAAATACTTTCCTTCAGATTTTCACTGCATGCTTAATACATTATAGCAAAATTCACCGTGCTGATCTTTTTTATGTCAGAATAGTTATTGCGATTTGCGATGTCGTGCGATATTATCAACAGATTTGATTGTCAAAACAGAGGGAAATTAGCCGTAAAATCGCAGTATATTTAGCATAGTTCAAAGAAAGGAATCAATGAAATAAAATGAAAAGAATGAAAAAAATATTTGTTCTCAAAATATTACAATTACACTGAATTAAATTTAACATATATACTTACATAGCATGACAACACAAAATATCTTCCAGACATCCATTGTGTATATGTTACTATACAGCAGATAAATTAAAGTGATTCATATATCTTAGTATGTTCGTTTATATAAGAATTCGTAATTGCTGTAGGATGAAAATAACTATTCAATTACGTTTTAATTTGTTCAACTTTCCTTGGGGTTATTCAAATACATGTAGGGATTGTGTAAGAAAATAATTGAATTTCTAAAAGTAAGGTTTTAAGATTATTGCTAGCTTTGCATATACATGTTTCGTTATCTTTTTTCGTATAAGGATTCCTTTTCGTCATGATTTCCACGTGCTTATGTGAATTCATTTGACAGTTATGCTTTAATGATAAAATTTACAAATTTATATTAATCATAAGTCGTTTCATAAAGTTAAACACAAGAAATCATAAATTTGTCAATAATAATCCCTCTTAAAAAGTTCATAAATTGTTTCTAAAACGTTTCAAATCTGATCTATGTAAATTTAACGCCACTAATAAATGTTAATGTTTGGATAATGATCAGTATCTTCTCACTGATCACTTGTTGGATATGATCCAGTTAATTTAAGTTACCACCAATCACGAATATATATATTAGTTATATAGTTATATATGTATTTTGTTTGAATCGTGATAAAAATCTCTTCGGATAAACAAGTAGATAGTACGTATTTTATTATTTTATTTTAGCTGAATACAGAAAACCTGCAAAATACTCGCATACATGTTTGTTAAAAATAATCAATGAAAACAAAGCTATTTATAACAATACTTAAAAAACGAATAAAAATAATATCATTCCTTAGTGACTGGAAGACAGGAAGAAGGAACGGACCTTTCCAATGTTTACAGTTTTATGTAAATTGGTTAACTTGTTATCCAATTGCTCCACTGGGATAATACATAGTCACTGGTTGACATGGTTTGCACAAAATAACACATGGTTATGTTTGTGATACTGTTTGTGAGCAGTTGACCTAGCAATGAATGGAAAATGTGTAGCTAAATGTTCCGTGCTTAAAAAGGTTCATGCTTTTAGCTCTGTAAAACGTGTTGAAAGCTATCAATTACTGCCTGAGTGAAATACAATAGTAAAACACCGAATAAATTCACACACAAGAGTACAAAACCCGTGCAAATCGTGCAAATGTGAAATGATAAAGGTATGCACGAAACAAGTTATGTTGTGACATCTTGTGACATCTTTCTGTTCCTTCAGGATCAATCAATTCCAAAATTTTGATGAAGTTCAAGTCATGAGTCTAACCTCTTATGTTGTTGACAAGCCACGAATGAGAATACTGTTTTTAAAGATCTCGAGATGAAATAAAATTACAGCTTAAACAACAAACAAACAATTTTTTCATTTAATTTATGCTTAAAAACAATTTAAAACGAAATTTTCATTATATTAACGTTAGTATTGAAATCTGTTTTCCCCATTGAGAGCCCCATTTAGTCGGAATTTCGCATTAAATACTAGAAGTCTTGAGCTGAAAAATTTGTTCGACAATCAACGTTAAAATAACGGTGATATTATTCATTTTATTTAAAAAATATGCATGATCGCTTGTTTTAATAATAAAAACAGACTTCAGATTTCC